TTCATTGTTTGTCTTAAAATGAACTAGAAAAAAGTGAAAAAGGTGAGCAACTAACCCGGAAAACAAAAAAAAAAGAATCTAAAACATTTTTGGGAAAAAAATAAAAAAAATCTAAAACATTTTGAGCCTTATAGAAGCATACCGTAAAAAAGCCTGCACCATTTCATTGTACATATTTTTAATATGGGATTTATTTACATATGCATTACGCAGCAAATAAATGTATGAAACAGAATCTACTATGGGCCTTATAGAAGCATACTGCAAAAAAGCCTGCATCATTTCATTATAAATTTTTTTATTATGGGATTTATTTGCAAATGCATTACGCAGCAAATAAATGTATGAAACACAATTTACACATGTAAATATTTTATAAAAGTATTTACATACAAACTAAACGTACCTTTATTGTTGAAGGTGATTCAATAAATGTGATTAAATGGTGCAAAGAGGTGGAATTTCATCGGTCAATGAAGATATTGTGGAAATAAAATAAGGGAAAAGTTCATATTGAGCCGGGCTCTAAACTATCAAATTTGAGCATACCTCAAAAACTTTACTAGAAGAGGTTGTTTTGATGCCCAAATATTCTCAAATTGATCATCAAGATACATGGACATGAGAAAAAAATGGATTTCAATTTTTGGAAATAGTGCATTTTGTAATGCTTTTTTTTACCATCAATTTTCAAGATTTTCATAGATCTATTGATCGATACTATTTTTGAAGCTTTAAACTTTATAAATAAAGATGAAAATATATTTTAAGATTATCACAAAGATTTCCAATATTGAAACCATATTTCTAGATACTATTTGAAGGTAGGCTCTAATTTGATTGTTTAGAGCCTAGGCTCTATACAAACCGCACCCATAAAATAAATGGATTTAAGTGTTAATTTAAACTTTGTATAGAGAGAAAAATTCCATTGCTGAAGGAGTTGTAATATAAGCGGTGGTAATAAAGAGAAAGAAGATGAACGAGTTGTAATATAAGCGGTTACAATCTCTATAACTGTATTTTCTCTGTGCGTGTTCTAAAAAAGTAGCTTCTACGTGTGTGTTGTATATGGGGATGAATCAACCAAAAGATATTGTACTCCCTCGGGGGTACATTGTTTATTTACTCAGGTACAATCCCACCTAGGAATAGTTTTAGGACCCTGGGAATATAACATTTTTAACGCATACATTGACCCTAATAATAAAAATGCTAATTGTACCATCTAAGCACTTGAAAAAATAATGCCTTAAGACTAAATAGAAACCATTCACTTTTTAGAGGTTAATATATAAGTATTAAAAAACTCAAATTTCTATTTCTTTTATTGGAGAATAATCATCCAGTGCTCCCATAAATCATTTAACTGAAGAAGTAGAAATAAACTATGCTCCCAAGAGATCCCATAAATCATTTAACTGAGGTAGTAGAAATAAACTATGCTCCCAATAAAGCCTTGTATAGGTGCTCATGAATCAATAAAGGGTTAACAATTTAGTTGGAAGACGAAATAACGTGAGTTGCGTGTACTTTTAGTGTGCGGATGTAAACCACAACGTGCTCCCCAAAAAGCCGATGACTTTCAATCTCCACCTTTCATGGAAAGACTCAAGCCTATCGTCACCATCAAAACCGTAGCATTCAATGAATGGAACATGCAAGATACGTGCCGTATCAAGCCATTTAAGTTTCTTTTTTTTCTTTTTGTCCTTTCTCCCTCTTATTTAGCTTTTTTCTCATGAAAAATCTACAAAAGGAAAAAGTTTATATAGAGCCGAAGCTCTAAACAATCAAATTTGACCCTATCTCAAAAATTGCATTAGAAGAGGTTGTTTTGATGCCGAAATATCTTCAAATTCGTCATCGCGACATCAAGATGCATGGACATGAAAAAAAAATGGATCTCAAGTTTTGGAAATAGTGTATTTTGTGACGCATTTTTGGAACGTTAATTTCAAGATTTTCAAGTTTTCATAGATATGTCGTTCTACACTACTTTTGAATCTTTAAACTTTATAGATAAATATGAAAATGTATTTTAAGGCTATCACAAAGGTTTCCAATGTTGAAACCACATTTCTCAACACTATTTGAAGGTAGGCTTTAATTTGATTGTTTAGAGCCTAGGCTCTATACAAACAGCACCCTCTACAAAAATATCAAAAATAATATCATATATTTCGTATTATAAATTGGAGTCCCACTTTTTGAGAGGAGAACGCGCATTTTTGTTTTGTCTTCTTATATACACATTGGATTAAGCTCAAGTTCGGTATGTTGATGTTTATCTATGATATAAACTTTTAAAATTATTAGAATAACAAGTTAAAAAAAATAAAATTCCCAAAATACCTTGAATGCTATAAGGTTGCATTCTTAATTTTGAGATTTCTTTATAAAGTGTGATGGTGAGAAGTATGAATATGACAGACATATAGAAAATAGATAAATTTATAATACACTTTTTTATAAAACAAGATATTTTTTTTTAAAAAAAGGCTTAATCCTAAATATGCACAAGGTTTCAAGTGCCCTTCATAACTCTTATATATATTTTGAAAATTCTTCAAAATAAAAATGTTTATAATTAAAAATAAACTAGTGTTATATCTCCTTTGTTTTAAATTTTTTTTAAGGGAAGTCTGTCTAAATACATATATAAGCTCTTTAACATTTTTAACATACTATTCTCATCTTTTGATTTAATTTCAAAGGGTGTGGTTTGAATAATGTTGAGGCCCTAAACAATCAAAATAACGCGCACCTTCATATAGTGTCAAAAGATGTTGTTTCTGTAGTAGAAATCTTTGTGATGGCCTGAAAATTTATTTTCATCTATAATTATAAAATTTAAAGCTTCAAAAATAGTATTGATCAAGCAGATCTATAAACACTAGAAATTCTTGAAAATCAACGGTCTAGATACTGCATTGCAAGATGCACTATTTTCAAGACTAAAAATGTATTTTTTTATGTATCCATAGATCTTGACCTCAAAATAATCGATTTGAAAAATTTTTAGCATTGAAACAACGTCAAGTAAATTTTTGAGATGCGCTTTAATTTGATTATTTAGAGTCTCACTCTTGTATAAGCTTTTTCCTTTGACGAATTTCCCTTACCCTTGTATAAAATTTTCTTTTGATGAATTTCCCCATTTTTAAAAAGACACGACACGTCACCAAATTGGGGTCTCATCACCGTCCATCGGTCCAATGACATTGATTCTCGTTGCCACCATCATCTTGAGCGTACTTACCAATCCCACATTTAAAACACTTTTTCATTCATTAAATATGGTCTATGGAATATTTGGAAAGAAAAAAATGGCCTACAACTCAATCATTTTTGAAAGATCAGCAAAACGATCCCGTCCTTTATGGTGAAAAGTTTAAAACGCGTTTGTTTTGTTTTTCACCACTAGGGGAAGTGGCTAGGGTCGTCAGTGGTAACTACCCCACAAAGGGTAGGCCTTGTTTTCCCACTTTATTATAAAAAAAATAAAAATAAATGGTTTTTACTCAAAAAATAATTATATAGAAATGAGACTCTAAACAATCAAACTAGAGCCCACCTAAAAACTTTCACTATAAGAGGTTATTTTGCTGCTCAAATATCCTCAAATTGATCATCTCGACATTAAGATGCATGAACGTGAGAAAAAAATAGATTTCAAATTTTAGAAATAATGTATCTTTTTTGAACCATCAATTTTCTAGATTTTCAAGTTTTCATAGATATGCTTGCTCAACTTTATTTTTGAAGCCTTAAATTTTATAATTAAAGGTGAAAATATTTTAAGGATATCAAAAAGATTTATAGTATTGAAAACGACATTTCTCGATACTATTTGAAGATGCTCCTTATTTTGATTATTTAGAGAGTCGGCTCTATACAAACCACACCCCTTACCTAATAACTTTTTTTTGGGTAATTAAGTGGGGAAGACATGCCCCTATCCTTTTTTTTTCAATAGATTGCGGAGTTACATTTTGAAAGTGTTAATTGGGTTTTTTCAATAGATCAAGGAGTTACATTTTGAAAACGTTAATTGGGGGAGTCAACGGTATGTAATAACTGGGAGTGGAAATGCTCCCACCACGACCCCAGCCCCTCACCTAATAACTTTCCCATAATATTGTAATTTAGAGCCTGTATTTTACTAACCCTGCTATCTACTAGGACTCTTTTGAGGTTCGAATTTTGGTAAAACTTGACCGTAAAGATAAGAGATAAATATGGCAATACTTCCCTTATATATAATTTACATACTTTTCCCCTATCCAGTCGTCTTATCTGAATGGACGTTGAGATGGACCTAATCACAAGCCATGCCTATATGTTTTTTATTTTTATTTTTGTTCTACGAAAACTTTTTTCTCAAAAGTTTGGATGTCCAGTGCTCTCTTACATTCGCACCTGGATTACTAAAAAATATATATTGATAAAATAAAGTAACGGAAATACCCCTAAAAGATTTAGGGAGTATTTTGATTATTTTATTTTATCAGAAATATTTTTCAAATATATTTTTAGGTGTGTCCTATTGAGATGACGACACCTACCAAATTTAATATTTATATGATATGTAGAAAAAATAAAAAATAAAAAACTCTTAGGCATTTGATCATGATCAAACCGCTAATTACTCACTTGATCTAAATTGGACGCCTGGATTGGAGGGAAAGTGGATAATTTATATATAATAGGGAAAGTATATCCCTAAAATGAAAACGGTACCATCCAAAAAATAAGTTGTGGTTCGGTTTAACTGTTCATAAATATAAACTCACCCAAAAGGGCATATGAAAAGATATTTGTTTTGCTTTGTTTATTTTCTCCACCCTTCATGGCTAGGGGCCTCCAAAGCCCAATGGACCCCAAAAATCACCCAACTAACGAGCCCAGGGAAACATCCAAATTCCAAAATTAAAACAAAAGGCTGGCAATTACTTATTTATGGGTTGATTCAAGAGAGGGAAGATCAGGACGCTAATAGAAACCTTGTCTTATTAAGGGATTCTATCTTTTTGGCCCTATAAATTTCTAGCCATCCAGTCTCACTGAAGCTGAGGTCTTTTCTCTGTTTTAAGATCATCTTCTTCTTGTTCTTTTTCATTGTTGTCTTTGTTTTTTTTTCCTTTTTTCTTTTTTTCTTTTGGTATAAGCTTTGGCCTCCTTTTCTTTGTGGTAGATAGAAATGGAGGAGAACCAGGTTAGATTGCAGCAAGGGCCAAACAAGCCCAATAAGTTGTTTCTCATATCACAGATCTTCCTTAGGCTAATTGCTTTAGGGGCTTCCTTGTCTGCAACTATTGTCATGGCCACCTCCAAGCAGTCTATTATTATATATAACATGCCCATTACTGCAAAATATAGCTATTCCCCTGCCTTCAGGTGACCCATCTCTCTCTCTCTCTCTCTCTCTCTTTCTCGATTTTCTTTCATTTCTAGAGGCTGGTTTTAATGGCAAAGCCCCTCCCACTCTCATGAAAACCAT